ATGGCCCAGCTCCGGTCCTACCGGCCCCCGGGCTGCGCGCTCAGCTCCGGTCCTAGCCCTGCCCCAGCTGTGCATGCTCGAGCTGCATTGGCCACGGAGAGGTGCTTCTCTCCTAGCCCTAAAAAGGAGTCACCGTGGCTTAACCATGTAAAAGAAGCAGTGAGGGAACCTGGCAAGTCGCCCAGCAGTTTCTCAGGGAATTCTGAGTCTCACCCCAGGTGCAATCAGGAAGCCCAGCAGTAGACATGGGGAGGTGACTGTTTTCCAGTGGAAGATGGGTGGGCTCAAGTTTTAATTGAAGAACCCCATTGCTCAAGTCCAGATTTAATTAACCCCAAACCCTGTTGTTCCAGTCCTACAGCGTCTTGGGCATTGTAGGGTGGGGGGGGGGGGGGGGGGGGATGGGACTCTCTGCTTTGGGACCTGAAATAGCAGCAGCAAACAGCACCTTTTTCCAGACCCGCGTTCTTTGAAGAAATGGAAGCAGAGTGAGCTGAACGGGGGTTGGTTTCATTTATTGAAGGCTGGGCTGTACAGTTTTGATTTTCACATCCTCGTTGCAATTCTGGTTCCCTAACTAAAAACGCAGCGGAGAGGCTGCAGCAAACACTGCCAGGGCTGAGCCCTGCAACGCGAAGGCAGACCTCGGCCAGAGGCAGCCACACGGACTGTACTTCAAGGCGCCCCAACGGGGTGTCCGAAAGCAGCCAGGGCGCGGAGAGGGGGAGCGATTTCAGGAATGTTTCCTGTATGGCAGAAATAGCTTCACTTCTATTCACTTTGGTGGGGGGGAACTCAGCTGCTCTGACTCCCAGACACGTGCCAGAAGGCCCCCCCCCGCGTACGACACCAGGCCTCAGGCCAATCACAGCAGCGCTGCGAACCTAACGGACCCCTGCAAACCCTTTGGTGGGGGGGGGGGGGGGTGAGGGATGAAGACCCCTGGCGCCCCCTCCCTTTTGTATAGGCACCAGGACAAACAGCAGTAATCCCGGGCACCACTTTGCCTGTATCGACCACGCGTCGTGCAGCAGGACTGCGATATCTCGGGACAGGTCAACAGAGCATGGCCTGGGCTACCAGAAATCCATCTCCTCTGCCCTCCCCCCACCCACCCTGTGCTACCCCAGATTCTCAAGGGGAAATTTCTTCAGTCTGGCCCGTACAGCTTCTGCTCCGAGTGTACAAGGCCATCCCAGGGACTCCGTTTCCTTGTCAGAGAGCTCAGTGTTAGGAGACTAAGGACTCAGTTGAGGATGCATTTAATTTTGTTTTCTTTGCTTAAGCCAATCAGGAAATGCCAATGATTCGTTTGTTTCAGCCAGGGCTAATCTGCTATTGAGAGGCGCTCAGGTAACAACTGGCTACAACGCTACGCTCACTGGGGCAACTGGAGCAGCACGGACTGTCCCGAGGGCAGGTAGGTGATGTTGCGGGAGCGCGAGAGCTGGTAAGCGATGTCTTCGGCCGCTTCCAGCTTGCGGAGTTCGATGAGGCCGTCGCCAGCTGCGGTCAGCGAGGTAGCGACCAGCTCGGCTGCTATCGAGTCCCCTTCAGCGGTGATGACGGCTGCTTTTTTCTGCTGCTCAGCCTGCAAGGGGAGCAAAAGAGAATGGGCCTGGAGGGCAGGAACAGGAAGAATAGAGAACCGGAAAAGCAGGAGGAAAATGCAGCTGGTATCCTTGGTGATTTCAGAGCTGAACTTCCCCAGGCGGCTCAGCCAGGCCTCTAATGGAGAAGGGAAGAGTCATGGCAGAGAACCTAGGGAGAAATGCAGACTGACCAGCCCACAGCTGGAACGGTCAGTTTCACTTTCATTTTCAGCACCTGTCAAAACGAACCTGTTGTGTTTCCAACACTGCCCAGGAGTATTTAAGCAAGACTGTTTTCTATGGAAACAGAGTGCACTGGACTCCGATCTAGCAGGGATCTCCAAGCACAACGCTAGCAATAAAGCCACACAGCGCCTGCCTGAAATAGGTCCTATGCCCATTTTACAGACTGGCACATGGAGCCCTCACCCAAGCGTTTCAAAGGTAGCGGAAGTCAGGAGCACGATGCCCCGAGAGCTCTTGCGAGAGAGGACACCCATTCGGGGGTGGGCAATAAGTGCCCAAGGGCCAGCTGTGCTTTGCCATTTTATTTACCTGGGCGTCCGCCGGCACAGCCACTCGCAGCTCTCGCTGGCTGCAGTTCGCCGTTCTGGGCCAAATGGCAGCTGTGGGAAATGTCGTGGGCCAGGCCACGGCTTCCCACAGCTCCCACTGGCCAGGAACAAGGAACCGTGACCAACGGGGCTGCGAGCAGTCGGGCCGGCAGACACTCAGGTCATCAAAGCGCCTGGCAGCCCAAAGGCAAACCCTGGGGTAACATCTGGCCTGCAGGCCAATTATTCCGCCCTCCAGAGGACACGGCTATTCGGGGGGTGGGTCAGACCAGCCCCGGGCGCATCCCCCAAGCAGCGCAGCATCGGGGCGCGACTGGGCTGGAGCGTGCAGTCCTTCCGGACACCGGACAGACGGCTGGACGAGCGGACGCTGGAGCCAGGCCCCAGGACGACGCTGCCCGCTCACCTTTTCCACTACGAATCTGGCTCGCTCGGCTTCCTGCTGGGCCACCTGCTTCAACTCCACCGCCTCCGTGAACTCCTTCCCAAAGGTCAGATGCGTCTGGGGGGAAGGGAGCACACACATTAGGAGAGTTCTGCGGCACTAGGATCCGCTCCCATCCAAGAGGAAGGAGACCTGCCTGGCTCCAAGAACCCGCAGGAGAGCGGAGGAAGGAAGTCTCCTGCTGCTCGCTGGCAGCCTGGCCGGATGTAAACAGCCAGGGCTGCACGGACGTGAATGGAGCAGCAGCCTCTGCCGTCAGGTCGGACTGTTTCCATCTTCAACTGGTTTGGTTTTGAGTTCTTTGGGCTGCAAAGCGTTTCCTGAGGAACCCGGCGAACGGCAGAAGAGATCTGGGGACAGGATTCGTGCCAAGCAGGCTTTAGAGGTGGGGGACGGGCAACCTTCCCAGTGCAGCCAGCAGGGGCGCTCGCCTTTCTCCCACCAAGCAGGGTCGCTTGCTAGGTCGAGCTGCCCTGAAACCGACCTTCCCGCTCCCTTCTGCGCTCAGATCTGCAGGAACAGCTGCGCCCTGCTGAAATGCAACGGGAGGGGTGAGAGCCTCCCTGTCGCCAGCAAGGAGCCACTGGGACAGGGACCGCGCCTCCCCAGGAGAGCACAGCCTGCATGGCCGCAGCTTGCGCCAACGGGCCATTCCAGCGGAAGCAGAGCGGGGCGCTAGCTGAAGAGCCAGATGGCAAAGGGTTTGGTACCAAAAGCAGGAGAGCAGCGCACCCCACAGACGAGGGAACTGGGTGCAGCCACGGGGAGGAATTTATCACGGACAGAAAACTGAAGGGAAAGTTGCCAAAATGACTGGGGCTCAGGGTACCCTTCCCCTTCTGCATGCTGAGAGCAGCCTTATGCGCACATAGGCCCTTTGACCGCAACCCCAAAACAGTCTGTAAACTGAGGCACGGTGTTCCGCCCGCAAGTCAGAGCGGGCCAGGCCCTGACGGGTTTCCTCCAGGCGCAGTAAGTCAATGACAGAGCCGCCAGGAACAAAACCGAGGAGCTTTCACTGCCTGCGCCCTGCCCCACACGGCGATACCCCCGTGACACCAGGCCAGGGGCTTTCAACCTTTTTCTCATGACCCAGTTGAAGGAAAGTGCTGATGCCGTGACCCGACATACGGCTTTTGCCTAGAGCACAGGCTCCAAGGTGGAGCGGGAAACGAGAAGCTTGGGGTGCAGGAGGGCGCTCAGGGCCGGGGCGCAGGCTTGTCTCCAGCAACTCTTGGTCAGCAGCACAGCAGAGGAGCTAAGGCAGGGGCCAGGCCTGCCCCGGCACAGTGCACTGTGCTACGCCCCGGAAGCAGCCCCTCTGGCTCCTAGGCGGAGGCACGTAAACAGCTCTGCGTGCTGCTCTCACCTGGCAGGCACCGCCCCCAGCTCCCATTGGCCAGGACAGGCAGGAGGCCTGCCTTAGCACCCCCTACTGGCCACCTGGTTACCTTGCAGCAGGTGACTCAATCCAGTACCCGGTCCGTGACCTGTACTTTGAAAACTACTGCACTAAGCACCACAGCCCAGGACAGCTGATGCGGGCTTGTGGGGCTCAACACAGTAACACGGACGCTCAGACTCTAGCCGAAGCCCCAAGACCTCCCCTCTCCGTGCGCAGACTCGAAGTCCAGGCTTGAGCAGAAAGAGCTGGACTGCAATTTTTACAGGCCCACTGGCTCACTCAGGACAGCCACGGGTCTTTTACTGCAGTGTAGACATTCCCGATTCACCTCATTCCTCCCCGCTCTGACCACTGCGCTACGCTCGCGCTGGTTCTCCCGGAAGCGCCGCCTGGAAAGAGCGCGCTCTTACCAAGGAAACGTCATCGAGGATGAGGCCAAAGGTAGTGGCTCGTTCCGTGAGGTCTTCGCTCACTTGTCTGGAGACCAGCTCCCTCTGCGTGATCAGCTCTCCTGCGTCAAACCGAGCCTGAAGCCAGGGCAGCAGAAGGGGGGAGGGGGAGGAGATGTGTAGAACAGCAACTTGAGTTTCCCCACCTCGGGGAGGGAGGTGTTGGGGGCTGCAGCCCAGTCGGGAATTCCAGCCCGTTTTAGTTGGAGTCTCCTTGCTGCTCCCCACACCCACCCGCCACCTTTTCAATGCCCCTCCTCCCTCGTTCTTCCTTCTCTTGTTCTTGTCCCCGCCCCGCCCCCCACCTCCCTCTTTCGTGTGTTTGCATTGCTGGCCCGCTCCCTCCACCTCCCAGGCTACATGGCTGTGCTGCTGAACGCTGTAAGCCCAGGGAAGAGACACGTATGTTGGGGAAAGGGCTTCCTGAGGCTTTTGTTCAGCTTGCCTCAGACCCTGCACACCCCACCGCCCCCAGGCAAGGGCTGTCCCCGTGCCAAAGATCAGGAGATACTGAGCTACCTGTGTCCTTGAATGACAACAGCCCCCCTCGACTCCTTAAGCACGAGCTGCGGCTGTGACTGCCCAGCAGAGCCAACACAAGCGCATGCGTTCTGGGCTGAAGGGGTTTTCAAAGCTTCCAAGGGGAAGCGTGCAAGAAGCTGAGGCGCTTCGTGGGCGAGTACGTACAGGTGGGCACAGAGGGATTCCCTCTGCTGGGCAACACCGCAGCGACTCACGGCTGCCGAGGGGGTTGCAGGTGACCGTTAGCCCCGCGCAGGAGAGATCTGGGGTGTGCCGAAAAGGACTCCGCTCCCCACCATGCCCAACAAGACGGTATCTGACTTGACAAACAGCTGGGATGGCAGAGAAGCAAACAGCGGTATCCCCACCGTACTGCTTTGCAGGGCTCCCGTCTGAGAACTGAATGAGCCAGGCTAAATTAAGTCTCTCGTTGTTTTGGACAGATCACGGCAGCACAACCGGCACAAGCCACCACCCGGCCCTTACCACAACAGACTTCAGGATCTCCGTGGTGATGGATGGTAGCACCCGCTCGTCGTAATCTTCTCCCAGAGTCATGAAAATTCGAGGTAACTGGGCAGCAACCGGTCTGAACAAGATCCGCAGCGTGATGTTCACGTTCTGCAGATCTGCAGAGACAGGTGCACGAGTGAGCCCCCAAATCACGGGCACAAGGGCTGGCATGTGACTGCTCTCTCCATGGCAACCCATCAAGGGGCTCAGCTTTCTCAGCCCTGGCATTTGCAGCTGGAAGTCTCTCTCCTGCTAGCGCCCCTTTCCAAAACCTCTTCCAAAGAGGAATTCCGCTGTGTCTTGCGGCTGGGCTGGGAGCCATTTACTCTGCCCTACAGATAGGGAGACTGTCTTTAAGAGACTAACTGAAGGGAAGGGTTTGTAAGGGGCCCATCGCAGGACGGGGGCCACCTGCCAGACTGACCCCAGCAGAAAGGACACGAGCCCTCGCCTGAGGACGTCTGTCTACATGACACAGACCACGCACATGAGGCCTTCCCATGCCTCTGACTGTGACTACTCAGCCCTGTTTTGTCCCAGGAATCCCATCCCCACTGCTCGCTTTACTAAGTCACCCAAAGGCAACTTAAAAAGAAGGGACAGGACGTACGATCACAGAGGTGCTTTGATGAGCTACAAGCGTGAACGCCCTAAACCTCCTGCCAAGACTGAGCCCTAATGGCACGTCTACACAAGCCCAAATCAGCGGGCATGGGCCATCTGCAGGTGTCTCGTTGCAGGGTAGACGCCCCCTAAGAAACCCTGGATGTGGAGACCCACAACTGCCATTTGCCCAGAGCTTTTGCTCACCTTTGCTGCCAGTGATGACGGGAACGTTACGTGGGCGAGAACGACAGTCAAAGATGATTGGTTTCTGTACCCAGGGGATGAGGAAGTGGGTTCCTTCTCCTACCACCACATCTTGAACACCACGGAATCGGTCAAAGATAACGGCTCTGTGTCCCCCGTCGACTAGGGGAGAAGCGACAGCATCTCAGATACAACGTTCAACATCACCGGAGTCTGACTCTGCACATTACTGGAACACTTGACAGAGGATATCAGAGGCCTAGCCACATTAGTTAAGCATTCCCATCAGCCAGAAGGCTAATGAAGTATTTTATCTGGGGAGACTGAGGTACAAATAAGGGACTTGCCCAAAGTCAAGCAAGTCAGACAGTAGGAGAGCAACTGATAAAACAACTTCTGGCTCCTCAAATACTAACAGTTAAGAATGCCAGCCTTTTGCACCTATTTTGTGCTAGGGATGTTACATTTTCATTAATCAACCGAGTAGTCGATGGAATTTCCATTGGCTGCAGGCGGCCCCCAACTTGGTTCCCAGGGAAGCGTCGCAAGTCGGGGGCATCATACGTCAAACCCTCATTTACGATAGGTGCCGTCGTAAATGCGGGCCGAGGACGTAAGTCAGGGGTTTTCAGCCCCTTCTGCACTTACAAAAATGATTGTAAGTGCGGGGGGTCGGAACTTGGGCGGTCGCAGGTCGGGGGCTTCCTGTATGGTGTCCTAGCTGATGTGCAGATTTCAAACAGAAGTGTGAAGAATCAGGAGAATGAATCAGAAGGAGCTGTTCCTAACACCTCCATTACCAGGAAGATCATGGGAAAGAATCACAATGGAACACAGCAAACGGAGCACACCTATGTAAGAGGCAGTACTGGGGAAACTGGCTTTTAAGCCGGCTCTCCCAGCACCAGCTCCTGCTCCCCCCCACCCCCCTTGCTGCCTGATAGAGGCAGCACCGGGGGGGAGGGGGCAGAGGGGTGAGCAGTAAGCTTATGTTTAATGGGTAGGCAACTAGTCACTTACATCCCTGTTTTATGGTGGTGTGAGTGACGACACAAGGAGCAGACCAACCAAGCCTGAAGGCCAATTAATTAGTTCTCCCCATCCTCACAGAGTAGCTGACACTAACTATCCCAAGGCAAGTTTATAGTCTCTTAGAAATATCTCAGCTTCACCAATTCCTGGTAAAGAAATGTTAATTCAGCTCCATCCCAACCATTTTCAAAACACACTTCGGAATTAGAGCGGAGTCTACGGAGTCAGATGCCTTGAACAGGACACCCTACTTTGTGAAGCTGAACGTTTCAACAGAGCGGGAAGGGCTCTGCCTCGTCGGCGCCTCACCGTTATAGAGAGCGGAGTTGACAACGCCCCCTGCGATGGCTAATCCTAAACCAAATTTGCCAATGTTCTCAAAGAGTCTGGCAGCCATTTCTCAGTCCAACTGCAGCCTGAGTCACACCTGAAAAAAATCCAGGACACGTATTAGAAAAGTCCTGCTCCCAGAGCCCAGGTCTTCCTCCCTCTCTGTAGGATGGAACAATAAATAACCTCCAT